TATAATCAGCCTTTATTCCTTTTCAAAATCAAAAAGGCCATTATATCTATAGGTGTTGAGAACAGGGTTGCAGCCCCATCTGGATTTTTACTGTGACCCGAGTGTGTAATGAGGAGTCTGTGACACTGGAGAAGGATACCACTTTTGCTGTAAATATCTCTATTTGATTTACCAACCTACCGAATTATTCTCTTGGTTTTCATTAAAGGAGACAAACGATAGGCTAAGATAAAGGCCAGCCAGGCCAGTTTGGAATCAAGTATCAAAACCTTACTAACAAAATACATTGTACTTAGAACCACAAAGCTGAAGGGTCGAATTATCATCAATTTAGGAATTCAGTTTCCAATCTTCTCATAGAGTTAAAAAGGGCCTGACCAAACACCAGTAATTATCCTGTTCATATGCCAGTGACCAAGTCTAATGAGGGAAAGGATTAGTAGTTAAGTGACAATGCCAGTAAAGGGAGGCCTAAATGTATGCTGGATGTGGGGGCTGGGAGCTGGCGAAGGTGCGGGTTGGCAGGAGGGAGGAGCAGAGAGCTGAACCAAGACCACCTCATGGAACCAGAGAGCGTAGCGCCCTTCAGTCCAAGGATGGCTGGGCACAAAAGGGCTCCTGTCAGACTACACAGATGCTGTTCCAGAGCTAAGAGCTGTGGTACCGGTTTACTGAAAAAGTCCTTCAAGTTCATGCTCAAGAGGATGGCACCTTTTGAAAAGAACACAAAACGAGAAAATGAACGGGACCGACTTCATCAAAATAGATGTTTCTGAGACCTAATTTTGGCACTGGCCCAACCTTAAAAGTCAGCACCAAGTAGAGCCACAGAGATGGTTCTGGTGAATAAAACAGCTGTGTCGTAAATCTCTACTAGTGTGTGCCAGTTCTCAACATTCTTTTTGATGTTCAAATAATATCCCAAATGTAGCTAATCCTTTTGATCTCTCTCTTTAAGCCTTTCTTTAAGCCTTTCCTTGTTTTCTGAAAGAAACCAAGGTGACAAGGAAGACCAGTTGTCTCAACAGCACCAACACTGGCATTGGGGAGATTATGGGAAATGTAGTTTAGAGACTCCGCCCTCCTCACCATTCCTGTAATGGCTGCTTCCGGGGAGGCGCTGTCACAGGGAACCTCTTAGCCTCAGCATTCAGAGCTCCAGGGAGGGAACTATTTCAAGTCAGACAGAATTATATACATATCATTTCTTTGAAACCTTCAGCACTCAAGATCCAGCCATCTCAAGGTCCGCACATCATGACCTCAGTTTCAACACAACTGTTCTTAGTCCTCATGCCACTGCTTTTGGTGCTGCCTGCTGATAAACCAGCAGAAGCTGGAGATGCAATCACTCTCATGTTAGGTGTGGTTCTCAGCATTACAGGCACTTGTGCTTGTTTGGGGGTATATGCACGAAAGAGAAATGGACAGATATGACTTTGAAGGGCCTCCTGAATCAAACCTTGCCCTGAAAACATTTGGGCTATTTAGGTTAAAACAGTAAATAGAGTAATTTTATATTCTTAGTTGTTTCCCTATAAGTGGGAATAAATTGATATATGTTAAATGTTTTTTTCACAGCAAATAACACACTGAAAAATGCAGTCTATAATTTGTATTTGCTAGTTAGAAAGAGGATCAAAGGAGTAAGATGGCTGAAATTTGCATAAGTAATATTTCATGGTCTCAGAGTTCTCATTGCAAATGACACTGGAAGAAGGAAACTCTTGCCCAGAATCCCAAGAAGTCAGCACGGTTCAGCTGTAATCACTGCCTCCTGTGTCAGTGAGGAGTCTTTTCTCCATATTTTTATTAGATTTTGGTTTTGGTGTCTCCCAATGTGATACTGTACTTAGATATCAATACAGTCGGTCAAAACTTAAAAGTTTTATTTCTTTGGAGGGAAAAAAGATTAGATAAATGTATTCAATGTATCTAACATTGAAAAGGAGAAAAGATTTAATGTAAAAAAAATACTTTATATTGACATTGAAATGGAGAAGAGATTTAAAGTTTTTTTAAAAAGCCTTTATATTAACTGAGTAATAGCCCCATGGTGAGAAATACTGTATTAAATATAAACCCATATGTTGTAAAAACAACAAAAAAATTACTGGCATTGAGGAGAGCAGTGTCCTTTGAAAGAACTAGAACATAACCACTTTGCTCCTTAAAGGACACAAAATGAACAAAGATTTCACACACGTATCAGTGAATTACCATTGTAAAGCTCTGCTAGAGCCTTTCAGCTGAATTTTCATGTTTAAAGTTTAGGAAAGTAATGTGGTAGACTGAATAAGATATACCCATATCCTGATCCTGGAAACTGTGAATGTTACCTTATATGGCAAAAGGGACTTCGCAGGTGTGTTAATAAATTAAGGATAAAAAAGGGGAAGGGATTAAAATGTACAAACTGCCAGCTATATAAACAGTCACAAGGATGTAAAGTGCAGCATAGGGAATACAGTCAATAACACTGTAATAACTGTGTATGGTGTCAGATGGGTACTAGACTTACCAGGGTGATTTGATCACTTTGGAAGTTATATAAATATCTAATCACTGTTATACACCTGAAACTAATAGAACGGTGTATGTCAACTGTAATTGAAAACTTTTTTAAATCATAGATTACTTAGGGATATGAAATGGAGAGATTATCCCCAAGTATGCGGTTGGGGCCTAAATGTAATCAAAAGTGTCCTTACAAAAGGGAGGCAGAGAGATATTTGACACAGAAGAAGGCAGCGTGACAACTGGTGCTGACTTCAAAGATGGAGGAAGGAGCCACGAACCAAGGGATTCAAGAAATGCAGCTCTAGAAGCTAGAAAAGGCCAAGAAATGAATTCTCCCTTAGAGCCTCTGGAGGGACACCTTGATTTCAGTCCAGTGACACTGATTTCAGACTTCTGATCTTCAGAACTACAAGGGAATAAGTGTGTGTTGTTTTAAGCCACTGAGTCGGATATTTTGTTAGAATAGCAACAGGAAGCTAACTCAGGTTTGGCCTGGGCTTTGGCGGTTTAAAAGCTCCCCAGGTATTTTTAATATGCAGCAAAGTATGATAACCACGGAACTAGAGGAAAGACAAGATAAGGATATGCTAGCGTGATTGCTTACGTGGAAAAAACATATGGTGATTTCATGTGGGAAGTCAGCACGTGACCTCACTAAAGTGTGGACCACTGACCCATAGATTACTCCACAGTGGCCTACCTAAGCACATCATAGGACGGGCGCACTTCTCCCCTATGGTGGCTAGTGTCCTCTCTAGTCTGGCTCATTGAATAGGCTACATTTCCTTGGAATAAAGAACCGCTGTACATGTGATAGGCAGATTTCCTACAGAGCTAACTTTTCTTACCAATACTGTCTTTCTTTCAAGGAAGAAACAGGCCAATAACTGAAGTATATGTAAATACATAAATCAGCATATTCACATTACCACCATCATGAGAAGGACTAAACTGTCCTCCTCTCTGTGCTTAAGTTATTGTACTAAAAACCACTATTAGAATTGTAAAGAGAGAGAGTTTTTCCATTTGCTTTAGGAATCTTTATTTATAATTGATGACAGAAGATGGGATTTACTTATTTATTTATGATAGATAAATGGAATAGTACTGTGGGAACAAAAGAACTCATTCTTCGTAGAGATCAAGAAAAGTACTGCTTGTACATTTTTGACAGGGGCAGCCCTCCCTGCAGAGCGAGCACCTGCCTATTCCTGGGGCTTCCATTCTATCACGAGCCTCCATGGCCCTCTCTCCAAAAGCTAAAACCTTACAATCCCTTACTTTTTACTTTTGTCTCCCTACTTTGTCTTCCTCAGAGAAGAAGCTAACATAAGAGAAAAGGTAGTCACATTAGAATCAGAAGACCTGAGTTGGAATTTCAGTTCTGTCACACCTAAGTACTGTCACATTAGAAGGTCCCTCAGCCACTCGGAGCTTCATCTCTATCAAAAAGAGGTAACACTACCTCCATGACGCTGTGTTCTGACTAAATGAAATGAGACGGATGAAAGTGCTTAGCACATAGTAGGGGCTTCACTGAAACTAAACTTTCACACATCACCTCTATGCTGAAGCTTCTCACATCTCTTCTCATTGGTCCCGGCCTCTCACTGAGCTCTGGTACCATATCTCCCACTGTCTCCTCAACACTTCGACTCAGATCTCACGGGCATCTCTAGTTGGACACATCCAAACTGGACTTACGATCTCCACTCCCAATCCAGTGACCCTCCCAACTCCCCTGACTGTGTCCCATCACAGTTAAAGAGCCATCAGTCCCCTTCCTCCATCCTCTCTTCTCCGTTCCTGCTGCCACAACTCTCATTCAGGCACCTGTCCCCAGACCTCACACCTCGAGCACAGGAGCCTTTTGGGTAGGCTGTTAAGTTAAAGCTGTCTCTCCCAAGCTATCATGCTTGTGGTTTGCAAATTAATCTATCTCCAGCTAGAGGCGTCACATCAAGTCCTAAATAAAGAACTTCGAGCACTTTTTTGCCCAGCAGCCTGGCACTTATTATGGAAGAGGAGCCAGGTCCCCCAGGCATGGAGGTGATATGGAGTCCCCACAGGTTTGGTGTGCCCCACGGCAGCATACAATGCACTAAGCAATTTCACTGCATTACACGTAAAGGAAAGCTCTTGGAATAAATGGATCATAAAACAAAGCATTTATTTAAAAGCAGCTACAGAGAACTATAAATTTGTCATCAAATTTCTTTGCATAGTATTTAGTAATTATTGGGTTGTCGGAAAAGTCATGACGCAGTTTTGCAAGGAAAAACAGAAAAAATACATCATAACTTTTCTGACAACCCAATACAATCAAAATCTGCCAAACCATCCTCAATTGAATTAAATATAATAATCCATGGATATTCAACCACGTACATGGTTTGTCATATTAAAATCATTTAACAAATATTCAAGCCTTCAATATTTATACTGATAGCAAATTTCGTCAATCTCAGGCATGTTCTTACCGTTTTGTTCATCCAGCTCATTCCCAATTTCTTGCCCCATTTGTTTTTGGCGACTTATGATAGAGGAAAGGGCATCAAGGCCTGCGTCCTGTTCTGAAAGAAAAAGTACAACGAGTAACTAAAAACAAACGGAAAACAATTAAAGGTCCAGACATATACCCAAGGCTGTAATACAATTCAACATAGGATAAAAGTAACATTTTAAATCAGTCGGAAAAAGAGAAAACAGTTAACATTATTGGAACAAAATAAAGAAAAAACTAAATACCTACCTCATACCTTAAAGTAAAATGATTTCCAGGTGAATTAAATTTTTAAATTTTAAAAATGAAGTAATTTAAGATTTGACTACATAAACATTTAAACTTGCCAATACTTAATACATAAAGAGCATGTACAAATCAATAAGACTTAATCTTCCAATTTTTAAAATGGATACAGGATATAGACAGGAAATAAAAATGAAAAAGAATGCTAATACCCAGGGTTAACTAAAGTGTGAAGAACTAGAAGCTCCTAAGTATTATGTCACAGGAGGGTAGGTAATATACCATACCTTTCTAGAGAGAAAACTGTGTCTACCTTTTTAATCTATCAATTTGATGTCTAGGAATGTATGTAAGAAAACGTTCAGATAGTAAGCAATGATGTATAATACAAGGATGTTCCTTGAAACACTGCTTCCTGTGCTGGTTATAGATTTATTGACTTTTAGCTCCAAATTCGCCCTTTTTGACTGCTCTGGGAAATGGATCTGGATGGATCCTCTCAATAATCTTTCCTTTGCCAGCTTTGTCAGTAGAGGGGAATGCAGAGACACTACAGGAGGAACGGCTTCTGCGTCCTGCCTCCAGCCTACTCTCGTGACAGGCTCCTGCAGGGCTTATAGCTTCTTCAGTGTCCAGCTCCTCAGAGGACAGTGGCAGCTGCACCCTGAGGCCAGCAACTTCTCTCCACACACCCCCTCCTTGGGCAGTTTTATAACACAGTGCCTTCAGTTAGACACTTTCCTATGAACAGTATTCTCCGGCACCCCAGAGGGCAGATTCTAGCAAGTTCCACCAGCTTGGTTGGGCACTACAGTGACTTCCCTGAAACCCAGTGACACCTAGCTGTGCCCTCCTCAAGGTCTGCATCTCAGCCCAGGGGACATGGAGCACTTTCTCAGGCTCTCTATCTCAGCCTGAGGGCCAGTGGTTGCGCCTTACCTGCTATTTCTTTCTGTTCTCTTCTTGCCAGCAAATCTCTCATTACTCTAATTTCCTGTCATAGTTAATAATTTTGTATATTAAACTTTCCTTGCTCAACTGTCTCTCTCCTGATTGGACCCACACTGATACATTTATAATAGTGAAAAACTGGAAACTATCTAAATGCCCAAACACAGTGATTTGTTTAAAAACATATAGTATACCCACACAGTAAAATATGATATAGCCATTAAAAGTGATACTGCCCATGTATATTTTGATGTTGAAAGAAGTCCATGATATGTTATTAAGCAAAAAATCAGGACACAAAACAATACATAGTAAAATAGCATTTTTTAAAAATGAAAATGTATTACTTTTCTAGATTTTGAAAATTTGAAAAGAACTCCAGTTATTCAAGATCCTTTCTTTAAAATTTGATATTGGTTTGTTTTTTTAACTAGGCAGTCTCAGTGATCCCTTTGTAAGGACTTTTTCCTTTGCTTTCAGGTATATTTGAAAGAAAATTCTGAGGCTGACTCTAAGGGCTCTTTCTACCCAAGCAACATGCTTGATAAGGATAGCATGCCAATTGCAGCTTCATTTGCTGATGGGGATTTTTAAATCACTGCTTCACATAAAAGCATACCTACAAAAGCAGAAATCACAAAGGTCTTCTTATCCAAGATCACGTTAACATTTACCTATATTTTTTTCCTAGTCTTTTTATGGAATTAAATCATTACACTTAACTCGTTAATTCATCTGGAATTTATTTAAACTAATGGTGTGAGGTAAGGACCCCTTAGTGACATTTTTTGACACTACGTACTTTTTAAACTATACAAATGACCTGCTGTCTCCAGGGATCGTTCTAAGGGACCATTTTATAGCAAAATCACTTTATAATGAGGTCCTTTTGGTCTTTAGTAACAACCTCTTGGATGGCCTCCAAGATAAATCTATCATCAACCTAGTGCTGCTATAGGATGACCAATATTATAGAATTCCAAATGCAAACCAAAAATAATCTATATATAGAACTGAGGGTCAAGTGTCAACGTGAATTAAAAGGTAAACCAATTTAAAAGGAACAAAGGAGATTCCTCCATAGCTGTCATTAGGAAAAGAATCATTAAAGTTATAAAGTTGCTTTATCTAGTAGAGACATAGATTATGAATGAAAAATACCTACACTTGCACTCTTTTCTCTCAACCTTGACTCACCGATTGACTTACCTACCAAAAGGTTATCTCTCTAATGCGAAACAGAAAGAGGGCTAAAAATTCTACTTCACTCAAATCATTTCTATAAGAACTTAGTTCCTCCTCACTATGTTTAAGTGCTACAGTAAATGTTCATTCCCTAATCCAAAACATAGAAAGTCCAGGTAACTGAGATACTATGTATATAATAATCATATTGATGACCTGAGCTTCTCCAAGTACTAAAGTAGCATTTCTAAGGGGAGGTGGTATGGTCACTGTAGAGACAATGAACAAAATGAAATGCTGCTACTTGCAAAAATATAAACAATCAAGAGCCATACACAGTCATGCAGAACCACATAAAATTCCTATGATGTCATAATAACTCTTTACTATAATCTGCCCTATCATATCACATATCCCAAGTCATTATACCACAATATGTTATTTGTAATATACCACACTCTATTAATCATTCCTCAATTTTATAATGGCATTCATTTTTTAAAATGGATGACCACTGTGCTACGTAGAGTAATGGCCCCCTAAAGATGTCCATATCCTAATCCCGAGGGCCTGTGAATATATGACTTTACATGGCAAAGGGAACTTCACAGTTGTGATTAACATTAAGGAATTTGAGATGGGAGAGTATTCTGACTTATCCAGGTGAACCCAATGTAATCAATACGAGCCCTTAAAACAGAGAACCTTTCCCAGCTGCAGTCATAGGAAGACATGAAGAACGGTCAGAGAGATGCAACTTGCTGGCTTTGAAGATTCAAGAAGGGGGCCACAATCCCAGGGACCATGATCCCCCAGAAGCTGGAAAAGGCAAGGGGATGAATTCTCCCTTGGAGCCCCCAGGAAGGAACCCAGCCCTGCCGACATCTTGATCTTAGCCCAGTGAGACCCACACTGAACTTCTGGCCTATAGAACTGTGAGGTAATCAATTTACATTTTAAGTCACTTAGTTTGTACTAATTTATTATGAGAGCAATAGAAAACTAATAGAATCATGTTTTTGAAAATAGCTTTGGAATAATTAGGTGTTTGGAGACTTCCTATCTTTAGATAGTCAGAAACCCCATCTTCTAAATGAATAGCATGTAATTGTGGGAGGACTATCTGGTGGCTGTAGATTAAAACTAAAGAGACAGTCATCATGCTGCATTCTTGCCAAAAATAACAAACTTCATTCTGATCAAGCCTCTAAATCTAACTACCAATTTACAGAAAATGTGGGCCAGAGGAGTATTTTAATATATGGGGATATAAATAGCAAGATCTAAATGGTGGGAAACTGCTGAGCAAAATGCCTTTGTTTCATCAACCAAGAAATTTTTGCAATACCTCTTGCAGAAAGAGAGAGAGAGAGAGAGAGAGAGAGAGAGAGAGAGAGAGAGAGAGAGAGAGCGCGTGAGCACGCTGGTAAAGGTACCTATCTATTAAAGAAACTTAAGGGACATATCAATTAGTTACAATGTGCAGACTACATACAGATCCTGAATTGAACAACCTAAAAAAAGAAAAATCATAGGACAATCAAAGAAATCTGAATACTGACTAATATTTTATTATACTAAGGAATTATTGTTAACTTGTTAAGGGTGATGAGAGTATTGTAGTTTTATATATACACACACACACACACACACACACACACACACACACATATGTATTTTTTTTTAAAGCCCTAATCTTTTAGAAAATATACTTTACAAATATATTCTGGAATAGTCACCAATTAAATAATGTCTGAGAATTGCTTCAAAAATATCCAGGGGATGGGTAGGTAGGCAGACATATAGATGAAACAACGTGGATTATGAGTTAATACCTGCTTAAGCAATTGATGGGTACAGTGAAATCATTATCTTTCTCTACTTTTATACATTTGAAATTTTCCACAGCAAAAAGTTATCAACATTTTAACAAGTCAATAAAACAGGGACCGTCCTCAGGCCCCTGACAGAGCACATGACAAGCCCCCCCACCCCCACCCCCACCCCAAGGGCTGGAGCTGCCTCTTCCTTTCCTGTCTTTGTCCCAGCTCTGAGCCCAACTGGTGGCACAGAGCAAGTACTTAGTAAATGATGTTTTAAAGCAAGGACTAACCAGAGGGCCCTCTAGTAGGTTTGTAGAAAAAAGAACTAAAATCTCTGCTAGCCATATGAAAGGGTTTCCGGTCAATATCAGAGAGCCGAGTTTAGGTGGTAGAAAGGAGTTGATGCTGTGTTGTCTGTCGCCTACAGAGAAGCAATGGAAACACATGTAACATACAGATGGATCTCCCCCTGAGTAAGGAGAAGTAAGGAATGAATGAGAAAAAGATTCGGTCAAGCTAAACGATCAGGGTAAAATTAATCGCTACGTTAGAAAGACTCTTAGAGCAAGATCTAAAAAGAGATGTTTTTATTTTTGTTTTTGTTTTGAGATTTTAGAACAGCAATCCTAGTCTAGGTGACAGATACAAGAAACAGTATTTTTAAAGAAAGTTGCTTGTGAAGTTGTGATTGCAAGGGTTCAAAGGTTAGCTACTAAGATTTGCCTGTGTACAATGGAGTCTGACTAGCCACCTTCCCCACCACTATTTCACATAAAAATATTGAGAGGCCTAAGAACACAGAAATCCAGAATAACGTGCACCTTTTTGATAGAATCTAGAAAGAATACCTGTAGACTAATGGTAA